GGACCTGAGAGAGGGGTTGGGCGGGCCTCCTGGACTCTATCCCAGGAGGCCTCAGGGCAGGAAATGCATTCTTGTCTGTGAGCCCTAGGAACCTGTCCTCGGCCACACCCACCCCCTGCGGTCTCTCCAGTTCCGTGACAAATTTTCCCACTTTTCCTCTCCCTCTGGGCGGGCGCCTTATCACAGAGGGCAGAATGGGCGGGTCCGGGAAGGTACCTCTGGCGGGGCTGTCTCTGGAGGCGGGGTTATCTTTATCTTCTGAGCACCCAACTCCCATGTGGCTGGCCAGTCCTTCGCAGTGTGGTGTCTCGCCTTGCTTGAGTGTAGAGATTTGAGGCCAAAAAACTAATATCTAGAAAAAATTAGGGTCCTCTTATTGCCTTCTTGGGGCACTACCATTACCCGGAGTGGGCAGCCCCACACACGGCCCCGGGACAACAGTAGGGTTTGTTTGTTTTTAATATATTTTTATTGATTTCAGAGAGGAAGGGAGAGGGAGAGAGAAACATCAATGACAAGAGAGAACTATTGATTGGCTGCCTCCTGCACGCCCCTTACTGGGGACCTAGCCTGCAACCAGTGCACAAGCTCTTTTTAAAAAAATTTTTTTTTTATTGATTTTTTTTTTTTACAGAGAGGAAGGGAGAAGACGAGAGAGTTAGAAACATTGATTAGAGAGAAACATCAATCAGCTAGCCTGCACACCCTCCCCCCCTCCCCCACTGGAGATGTGCCCACAACCAAGGTACATGCCCTTGACCGGAATCGAACCTGGGACCCTTGAGTCCGCTGGCTGATGCTCTATCCATTGAACCAAACCAGCCCAGGGAACCTTAAGGATTGAGAGCCACAGCGAGGCTGACCAGCTGCCCCTGCTTCCCCAGGACGCAGGACTCAGTCTCACACCAGAACGCCCCAGGCCAATCAGGACGAGTGTCACCTTATAACCTTATGGCCGAGGCAGGAGGCAGGCTTGCTCTGGGTGTGGGCCCACAGAGGCCCATGCTGGCGGCCCAGGGTGGAGGCCTGTGGGCAGGTCAGTGGGCCCCTCCGAGACCCCTGCTGGTGAGTCCACCTGACACCTGCCCAAACCTGTGGGGCTGGATTCCTGGCAGCCCTGCAGGCACCCTAGAGGGAGCCTGCTCGGCCTCCTCCTATCTGCCTTTCTTCTCAGAGGGCCCCTCTCCATGCACTGGGAGGCCTAGGATGCTGGACACACCCACACGGGTCCCCGTGTCCATCACAGCCTGCTCTCGTCAGCACTCCCCTCCCGGTTCTCAGGCATCAGGAGCCAGCCCCACTTACTGGACAGCACTTCCCCATGGCCCTCTGGGTGGCACCAGGCCCTGAGGGGAGGCACCAGGCAGGTACCAGGGTTAGAGAAGCCCCAGCTGTAAGCTCCCAGCTGAGAGGTTTGCAGCACACGCAATCCAGGCGATTAAAAGGGGGGAGCTGGTCCGAGGGTGGGCCAGGGAAGTTCGCGCCAAAAGGCGGCATAGGCACTTCTTTTATACAGCTGTTTAGGGAGGGGAGGGAGGAGGGCATGAGAGGGGTGGAATTCCTGCCTCGGGCCAGGGGTCTAGGAAGGCCCTAGGAAGGCCCAGCTAGCCAGCTGTCTTTGTCACCATCCACCTTGAAGATGCTTGCATCGACTCTGGACTTCCCCCCTGCCAGGACCTAACACCATCCACAGTAGCTCACTTGCAGACCCACCGATTAGCTCCAGCCTCAGTCTCCCCATTTTAGAGGTTCTTAAGTTTTTTTGGGATCAACCATCCGTTTGCAAAATCTGATGAAAGTATGAACCTCTCTTAAAATATCCTAAAGAGCAACGCACCGATCTGAAATCAGAATCATTCAGATGGGTGGCTCAGTGGGTTGGAGCACCGCCCAGATGGGCCAGGGCTTTGGGTTTGATATCTAGTCAGAGCGCAGACAGGAGTCGCCAATGAGGCGTGAATGGGAGGAACAGTGGTAGATGTTTCTCTCTTCCTGTCTCTAAAATGAACTTTAAAAATTTAAAATAAGCCGAAACTGGTTTGGCTCAGTGGATAGAGCGTTGGCCTGCGGACTGAAAGGTCCCAGGTTCGATTCCGGTCAGGGGCATGTACCCTGGTTGCGGGCACATCCCCAGTAGGGGTGTGCAAGAGGCAGCTGATCGATGTTTCTCTCTCCTCGATGTTTCTAACTCTCTATCCTCTCTCTTCCTCTCTGAAAAAAAAAAAATCAATAAAATATATTGAACAATTTTAAAATAATTATTTATAAATAGAGCCCCACTGAGCAGACGGGAAGCGCCGCGCGCCCTCCCCTCCCCCAGGGCTGCAGAGTGGTGCGGTGACCGGTGTGAGGGGGGTTCTCCCAGCCCCCTGGGCGCCAGGAGGGCACCTCCTCCCAGGGTGGCCAGGCCTTGGTCTCCCTCAGGAGGCGTGGAGGCGAGCGGCTCCCCAGGGAGGGCTGCCTTGGAGAGTCCTCACAGCCATGTTGGGAAGTTGGAATTTTCATCAGATCCCCTCCCTTCCCCCTCCTTCACACAATAATTCTCAATTCTCAGCACCCAGGGAGGGGCTTAGGAGAGTCCCCAGCCCCTCCCCACAATGAGGGGCTCACGTTGGAGGATCTCAGGAGGTTTCTCAAAGGGCTCTTGGACTTTCCAAGACCTGTCTGGGGGGGGTGGGCAGGGTTTGAGCCGTGGTCTGTGTGGCTCCCAGGCTGCCCTCCGCACGGGAGAGCCAGGGCTCCAGGGGTTTGAGGAAGAGGGCCTTTCTTTTTCTTGTTTTGAGTAAAATCTGCACATCCATTGCCAAATTTGAATTCATTAAGATTTATCTCCATATTTTCTTCTGAAAGTTATAGTTTTACCCCTTACATTTAGGTTGTTGGTCCAGCCTGAGTTCATTTTTGTAGATGGAGTTAGATAGGGTTCCAACTTCATTCCTTTGCATGTGGTTCTCCAGTTTTCTCAGCACCATCTGTTGAAGAGACTTTTCTTTTTTTTATTAAAAGATCTTGGCATCCTTGTCAAATATCAATTGTACACCAATATTTTGGTTTATTTGTGGACATATAATGGTACCCTTTGTGCTACAGAGCTGGTCTCATAACTTCCATAAAATCTAGAAAGACAATATATCACAGCTTTTGTACTGGTTTGTTCTTCATGTCACCAATCTAGATAACATGTTATGAGAGATACTAATATAAAAATCATTTGACCATGCTTAAAGAAATCCTAACAGCCCTAGCGGTTTGGCTTAGTGGCTAAAACATCGACCTTCGGACTGAAGGGTCCTGGGTTTGATTCTGGTCAAGGACACATGCCTTTGTTGTGGGCTGGAACCCCTGCAGCGGGCGTGCAGGGGCCAGCCAATCAATGATTTTCTTTCATCATTGGTGCTTTTTTCTCCTTTCAGAAATCAATAAAAATATATTTTAAAAAATACTAACATATGGTATTTGTAGGTAAAGAGCTATAATTTTTTTCTTTTGTCTTTCCTTTGCCAGCAAAAATAGTGGGTTGAGCTATTGTGTATTTTGTGTGTGTGTGTGTATGTGTGTGTGATTTTTAATTTACCTCCAGCCAGGCTGGTGTGGCTCAATGGTGAGTGTCAACCCAGGAATCAGGAGGATGAACCAGGAGGTCACGGTTTGATTTCCCGTCAGGGCGCAGACCTGGGTTGTGGGCTGGATCCCCAATATATATATTTTATTGATTTTTTAAAGAGAGGAAGAGAGAAGGATAGAGAGTCAGAAACATTGATGAAAGAGAATCATCGACAGCTGCCTCCTGCACACCTCCTACTGGGGATGTGCCCGCAACCAAGGTACATGCCCTTGACCGGAATTGAACCCAGGACTCTTCAGTCTGCAGGCCTACGCTCTAACCGGTTTCGGCCCCATCATCGATGTTTCTATCAAGAACGTCTTTCTTGAGGATGACGAGGCAGGGTTCAAAGAAAGCTGAGTCACCTGGGCCTGACCCCTGTGGCCTTTCTTGTGGTATCTCATCCAGATCATCACTCACCTCCCCTGGGCATGAGAGGGTCCTGGGCGTCACCTCACCCAGTGCTCCTGTCCCTGCTCCTCTCCTCGCTCCGGCCTGCGTGCTCCTCCCCCGCTCGCTCCACAACGGGCCCTCTATGCCCCGGCTCCGGAGACTGCAGCTGGGCCCCCGGTTTCATGGAGGGGGCGGGAGGGCATACCTGGGCTGAGGTAGGAGCGAGGGGGGTGGTTTTCTAGGCCGTTGCCGGGACGATGCCACCTGAGCTGGGCGCCAGGCACCTGTCGCCTGGGAGACGGTGCGGGCGGGGCCCCTCCCCCGGGAGCCGCCAGGGCCGCTGGGCTGAGGCCGGAGGCAGATCGAATTCCGGGGAGTCCTAGCTCCTAGCGCAGGGGAGGGGCGAGAGGGGGTTCTCGATACTGGAAAAGCTGGGGTGCCTTTGCATCGTCAAGAAATGAGCCAGCCCAGAAGAGCAAAGACGGCGAGGGAGGGGTGCCTGGGAGCTGAGCCCCCGACTCGCCCACTTCTGAGCCAACTGTTACATTTGGAGCTCCCTGTCTCCTCCCTGCGGCTCACCATTCTTTCCTTCTCCCTTCCTTCTTCTTCCAGAGAGAGATCCGTGGCTCCACTTACTCATGCATTCATCGGTTGATTCTTGTATTATATGTAGCCTGACCGGGGATGGCATATGCGGAGGGCACTCTAACCAAGTGAGCGACCAGGCCACTGCAGACCATGGCTTTGTCTCTGGGTTCCTGCGGGCATGGATGTTCTTTCCTCCCGTTTCTTCCCGGTCATGGTACGCTCTTTCCCCCGCCCCTCCACACCTTCGCGCGCGCGCACACACACACACACACACACACACACACACACACACACGCCCCCGCACACCCGCCCAGCCCCCGCCTCCTCCCGCAGCACAGCCTCCCAGTCTCGGTCTGGTTGCTCCTCCCCTGCCTCGGCCTTAAAACCCCGGGTCCGTGGCCAGGAGCGCAGTCCCCCGGTGCCCTGGGCGAGGCTGCACGGCTGCTCCCCGTACGCGATCCTGCGCGCCAGCGGAGGGATGAGGCTCTCCCCAGCCTGAAGGTGGGTCCGAGGGGAGATTCGCGGAGCTGGTCCGACAGGCAGGGGCGGGAACGCGTCTGCAGAGTGGCGGGGGGGCAGCAGGCACCTCGAGGGGACACCAGCCACTCACCGGAGCGGGAAGGACTGTGCGATTGTGTGTGTTGGAGACCAGGGACACACCTGCGAGGGGCACAGAGCGAGGAGGCACCTGCGAGAGGCTCACAGATGTGAAGACTGACTGTCTCAGCCGGAGGACACCGACGGCCCGCTCCCGCCGGCACCGAGACCCCTGCTTTGGCAGCGTCGGACGCACCCTCCGTGAACCGGGCCGCCCAGGGCCGAGATCTAACCGAGGGGGCAGATGGCTTCAGCAGGCCTGGAGCTCCTGGGCATGACGCTGGCCGTGCTGGGCTGGCTGGGGACCCTGGTGTCCTGCGCCCTGCCCCTGTGGAAGGTGACCGCCTTCATCGGCAACAGCATCGTGGTGGCCCAGGTGATGTGGGAGGGGCTGTGGATGTCCTGCGTGGTGCAGAGCACCGGCCAGCTGCAGTGCAAGGTGTACGACTCGATGCTGGCGCTGCCCCAGGACCTGCAGGCCGCCCGCGCCCTCTGCGTCGTCGCCCTCCTGCTCTCCCTGCTCGGCCTGCTGGTGGCCATCACCGGAGCCCAGTGCACCACCTGCGTGGAGGACGAGGGCGCGAAAGCCCGGATTGTGCTCACCGCCGGAGTCATCCTCCTCCTCTCGGGCATCCTGGTCCTCATCCCCATCTGCTGGACGGCCCACGCCATCATCCAGGACTTCTACAACCCCCTGGTGGCCGAGGCCCTCAAGCGGGAGCTGGGGGCCTCCCTCTACCTGGGCTGGGCGGCAGCCGCCCTGCTCATGCTGGGCGGGGGCCTCCTCTGCTGCTCGTGCCCCCCGCCCCAGATCGACCGGCCCCGGGGGCCCCGGCTGGGCTACTCCATCCCCTCGCGCTCCGGCACCTCCGGGATGGACAAGAGGGACTACGTGTGAGGCGTCTCCAGAGGCCCGCTGCTCGGAGCCTGGACTTTGTGCTGGATGCCGTCTCCAAGCCCTGCCTTCTACCCTCACCCCTTCCCCAGATGAAAGGAAAACCTGCCCTCTAGGAGTTCCAGCCGGGGTTGGCCGCTGGGCTAGTCTCAGGTGGCTTGGCTGAGCCCAGACCCTCCTCCATGGGTCCCCACCTCCTGGCCCCCCAACCAGTTGCTTTCTTCTGCTTCCTGGACCTCGGTTGGCTCTCCTCCCCTTCCTGAGGCCTCCCCTGCCCCTGGGACCTGGGCCTCCCCCAAAGGGCAGTGCTCCCGGCTCAAACAAGGAGAGGATTATGCTCTGCAGGCCCTGGAGCCGGTCCCCTCCAGTCTGGCCACCACCTCCATTCAGGGACCCAGGCCAGGCCCTCTGGGAGAAGCCAATCTCCTCCAGGCCAGCAGGGCCCAGCCCTCTCCCTGCCCCCACCCCCACCCCCACCGGATCCCAGAATAAAGAGTATTTGTGCCTCTGCTGCCTTGACCTGTGATTGGGCGGGGGAGACCAGGTGGCCGGGCTGTCAGGCCAAGGTCCGCTCCAGGTCGTGCTGAGCCGGTAACCTAAGGCTGTGCTCGGACGTGAGCAACAAAGGCGGGGAGCCGCTCACGCTCACGCTCACCTTACTCCAGGCTGGAACTCAACAGCCCCCCAGCAACCCCAACGGCAAGTAACAAAACAAAACACTCTTTATTTAGTAAAAAACTAGCGTGTGGGTGCACGCTGAGAGATGGCTCGAGGGGCAGAAGTGTGCAGGGCCTGCATGTGAGAGGGTCAGGAGGCTACAGGGTGGTTGGGAAGCAACTCTGAGACAAGGACGGAAGAGCCGGAGGTCAGAATCCTCAGAGGTAGGTGGTTTGGGGTATCACCTGGTCTTCTCAAGGGCGCCTGAGGCTCAAAGCTCCGGGTCACAGAGGCCTGACGGACAAGGCGGGGCTTATCCCTGCAAGCCCTGCCCCACCATAGCAGGAACCCTTGGGGACAGACTATCAGAGCACCCTGCTGTCACAAAGCACCTGGCCAGCACACAGCCTTCCCTCAGGGGTCACTGCTCCAGGCTGGCCTCGAAGATGGGGATGTCCGAGGTGGAGGAAGATGGAGGCACTCTGAAAGGTTGCCTCCTTGGTCTCATCATCCAAAGGTGAGGAAAGCCAGCAGCACAGCCCAGCCCAGGTGAGAGACTGAATTTCTTCTTGGTTTGGTGCTTAACGAGTGGCTTAAAAACAAACAAACACCCCTTTGCCCAATAAAAAGGAAAAACAAGATAAAAGCAACCCAGAAACGGTCATGCATCCTGATGACTCCAGCTCAGGGGTCAAGGGAGCCCCGTCCTCCTGCCCATCAGACGTAATTCTTGGCGGGGTATTCAGAGGGCCCCTGAGAGATGGCTCGAGGGGCAGACGCTGAGTATCGGGCCAGGTAATGGCTGGAGCCCCGGGACCCCCCAGCGGGGCAGGTGTAGCACAGAAGCCCCCCGCCCAGCAACAGAAGCCCAGAAGCCGCCCAGCCCAGGTAGAGGGAGGCCCCCAGCTCCCGCTTCTGGGGCTCGGCTACCAGGGGGTTGTAGAAGTCCTGGATGATGGCGTGGGCCGTCCAGCAGATGGGGATCAGGGTCAGGACCCCCGAGATGACGAAGATGATCCCGGAGGTGAGCACCAGGCGGGCCTTGGAGTCCTTGTCCTCCACGCAGGTGGTGCACTTGGCCCCGCCGAGGTAGACCAGCAGGCCCAGCAGGGTGGTGAGGAGGGTGACGACGCAGAGGGCCCGGGCGGCCTGCAGGTCCTGGGGCAGCGCCAGCATCGAGTCGTACACCTTGCACTGCATCTGGCCGGTGCTCTGCACCACGCAGGACATCCACAGCCCCTCCCACATCACCTGGGCCACCACGATGCTGCTGCCGATGAAGGCGGTCACCTTCCACAGGGGCAGGGCGCAGGACACCAGGGCGTTCACCCAGCCCAGCAGCGTCAGGACGATGCCCAGGATCTGCAGACCAGCGGAGGCCATGACGAAGCGGAGGTTGAAAGGAGCTTCCCTGGGGACAGAACGGAGCAATGTTGAGACTAGCTGGCCAGGATCCCTCATTTCCAGCGAGTGCTACTCCCCAGGCCATGTGCCATGGCCACACAGAACACCAAGAGTATAAGCCTTGAGAGTCGGGGTGCCAGGTCTCGTCCCGAGCCTCATTTTCTCATCCAAAATGAGCATTAATGCCTCAGCATATATTTCTTTTCCCCTAGTGATGTGATGGTCTGTTTTGAGTACAAAGGAAAGATAATATAAAGCCTCAGCCACCATGGGTACATTTGATCAAACAGCAAAGTGACAAGAGGGGATGAAGTGACGGCAAAGTTTGCAGGTGTTTCCACAGAGAGCACAGATGGAAGGTTGGCTCTGGCGATTGGGTTTCACTCTTAAAGCCATCAAGATGAGCGATCCAACCTTCTTCCCACCACCCAGCAGAAGAGTCCGACAGGGTCCGATACCTCAGGCAGGTGGTTACCAGCTTGATCTTAAAGATCTTCTTCTGTGCCGAGTGGCCCACCAGTCCCCACCTGGCCTGCCCCATCACAGCCTCAGCCAGTCCCTGGAGGGGCCGGAGATTGTGGGGGGGAGTTTGGATTCTCATCCAAAAGCACTTCCATCCCTAAGGCCACTGGCTGTCTCCCTGGGTCCCACTCTTCTGCCCTCCCTTTGGGGCCACAGAGCACACTGCCAAGGTCAGGGACATTTTTTCTTGTGTGTTCTTTCCCATAACGCAATCCTCTCAAGACACAACTTCTCTGAAAGGAGCTAAAACCCTCGGGGTCTATGGAGTGAACCAGCTCCTCCACAGCAGCCCCTCCGCCTGCCTCCCCTCACATGTCATTTCGTGTTGCAGGCCTCCATCCAGGTCAGTTCTGTGCAGGGCTTTGTTATGGCTCTCCATCGTCCAGAGGTTCCGGGACACGGCATGGACCTAAGCCCCGCACCAGCCCAGCAGTGTGACCAGAGAGCAGACCCTCCACTCACTTTTATTTGCACCTGCTAGGCCGGAGCTGAAGAGCTGGGGGTGCGGGAGGCGGGATGGGGTGGGCCAGCCCTCTTTCAGTCCCCGGTCTACCTGTCCCGGCCTTGGCCACTTCAGCCCAGGCACCTGGCGCCTCTCCCCTGCCCTCCACTCCGTTCCCTCTCCACAGGCTATCGGCTCGATTTGGTCCGAGGACGCTCCTTACCGCCCCCGACCCCCCCTCCGGAGTCCGGCTCCGAAGTGGGTGCCCTCAGCCCCCCGCCTTCCCGGGAGCCGCGCGCGGGAGAGTGAAAGGCGGCGCGGCCCGGGGTCCCTCCAGGTGCGGGGGAGGGGCGGCCGCGCGGCAGGTGGGGGAGGGGCGCGGGTTTCGGTGCCTTTGTCCCAGGGGAAGCGGGGAGGGGCGTTTGGCCACGTTCGAGCCGCCCAAGGGCCGACCTGGCCCCGCCGGCGGCTCGCCAGAAGGTCAGTCCAGGCTCTCCATGCCGCCCGCACCCTGCGCCGGGCCCCTCAGGCACCCACCTCCTCCCCCATCCATCCCCTCCGCAGCGCAGCACCGCCCCGGCTCAGGCTCACCTGGAAGGCGGCGCTGCCAGGTCCGAGGAGCCGCGAGTGCGGGGCCGGGGCGGAGGCGGGGGTCTTAAAGGGGCGGTGACGTCACCGGGCCGCCCCGGGGAGGGGCAGAGACCCCGGGCCGGACCGCGGCGGGGCAAGAATTCAAACTTCGTCCCTGCTGCGCCCGCACCTGGCCGGGCGAGGGGACCTCGGGGGCGGACCTGGGGGCCCTCCGTGAGTCAGGGCGCAGGGCGTGCAGCCAAACAGGACTCGGGCCTCGGCTCCTCCACCTTCCCCAGCCTCAGTTTCACGCTCTGCAAAATGGAGACAAGCCCACATGCTACTGGGTAATTATGTCTTAAGATAAAAATCAAAGGACACACTGAAACCGGTTTGGCTCAGTGGATAGAGCGTCCGCCTGCGGACTGAAAGGTCCCAGGTTCGATTCCGGTCAAGGACATGTACCTTGGTTGCGGTCACATCCCTGGTGGCGGGGGGGTGCAGGGGGCAGCTGATCGATGACTCTCTCTCATGGATGTTTCTAACTCTCTATCCCTCTCCTTTCCTCTGTAAAAAAAATCAATAAAATATATTTGGAAATAAAAATAAACCAAAGGACACATTAGCATTATTGTTCTTATGCCGTCCTTAGAGCTGGGGTGGGTGGTTTCAGGTCGGATTCTCCGTCCCCCGACCCCCATCACACACACATCCCGGCCCTGAGCACGGGGCGAGCAGCCCGGCCTGTCCCCGCGGCGGGCGGTTAGCGCTCCGGACGGAGGGTAGCGGGCCGGCGGGGCGGGGCGGGGCGGGCCGCGGGGGCGGGGGCTCCGCCCCGGAAGGCGGGGGCGGGACCGGCTGAGGCTGTCTGTCCCGGCGGCGGCGAGCGGCGGGCTCAGACCGTAGCGGCCGCGGACGCCACGATGAGTCCCGCCCGGCTGCGCGCTGTGCCGCGGCCGCTGGCGCTGGCGCTGGGGCTGGCGCTGCTGTGCGCGGCGGCCGCGGAGCCGCTGTCAGGTACGCGGGCGCCACGCCGGCCGGGGCCGGGCTGGGGCCGGGGCCGGGCCGGGGCTGGGGAGGGCGGGAGGACCGGGAACCCGCACCGGGATGCGGGAGCCGGCTTGGGGAAGTAGAGGAGCGGGCAGAACGGGGGGGACACGGGATCGGCGTCAGGCAGTTTCCAGATGCCGCCTCCCCGGCCAGGGGAGGTCCCATCCCGCTCCGAGCCCCTTCCCAGCCCGGCCTCAGTTTCCTGCCCGGCCATCGGGACTCGGAAGTGGGGAAAGTTTGAGGGCGGGATGTCTCATCCGGTAACGGGGCAGGCCCCCAGCCTGGTCAGTACCCGGCCTGCCCAGCCCCAGGGACCGGCGTCCGGGTGGGGTGTCGAGAGACACGGGGGTCTGTGTCCCCCATACCATGTGGGGTGCCCCGTTCCATCCGGTGACTTCAGTGCCCAGCTATGTGGGGGGGGAGGGACCGGAGTCGGGCCCAGTGCCCAGGAATGAGTCACTCGCCGCCGCCGGCGGAGGGGGGGGGTAGGAGGGACCTGACACCCCCATCCCCCCAAGCCTCCTGCCCGACGGCTCCCCCCACCCGCGCTGCCGGGTCCCGGTCGGGCGGTGCGGTCACCTGTGAGGAATGTGGGAAGCGGGCGCCGGTGACTCACGTTATACGAGCCGGCCGACCCAGACCTCAGCCCCCAGAATAGCCGCACCCCGCCCCCAGCCTCTGATCCCCTTCCCCAGGCACCACTCCCTGCTCGCGCGGCAGCTCCTGGAGCGACGACCTCGACAAGTGCATGAACTGCGAGTCATGTCCAGCCCTGCCGCACAGCGACTTCTGCCGGGGATGTGAGTGGGGGGCGGGGCCGGGGGCGACCCCAGAATAGGAGAGGGAGGGGAGCAGGTGGCTTTAGATCTGGGGAATTAACGTGGGAGGTGAATGGGGAGGGGGCTCCAGTCCCGGAAGGGGGAAGACTTGAGGCTCAGGTCTAGGGGGTGGGGCTGGTCGGGATAGGGGTGAGGTCTGACTCTGAGTCCTGCTGCAGGTGCTGGGGCTCCTTCGGCCTCCTTCGGCCTGTTGTGGCCCATCTTGGGGGGCGCCCTGAGCCTGGCCCTTGTGCTGGGGCTGCTTTCTGGCTTCCTGGTCTGGAGACGGTGCCGCAGGAGAGAGAAGTTTACCAGTAAGTGTGCCCTGTCCTCCTTGCCTTCCCCCCCCCCCCGTCCCCCCCGTCCCCGTCCCCCCATCACTCCTCAACGTTTCCCAGCTCTTGATGACCCCTCTTATCTTGCAGCCCCCATCGAGGAGACCGGCGGGGAGGGCTGTCCTGGCGCAGCGCTGATCCAGTGACAATGAGCTCTCCTGGTCACCAGGAGACTGTGCCCACTCGTCATTCATTCATGTGGAGCCAACCCCTGCCTCCCAGACCAGAGCCACGCTGCTCCCGTCACGGGTGTGCAGGGATGGGGGACAGGTGAATCACTTATCTGAGGCCTGGATCCAGGCTTCAGAAGAACCGCCAAGGCATCGGACTGCCCTGTCTCTGGCTCCAGGACAGAAAAGGAGACCCAGGCTGGCTCACACACCACATGGCTGACACTAGGAACTGCAACATTTGCACAAAGGTCCCCTATCCCCATGGCTTGGGGGTCAGGCTGAAGTGAGGCACAGACAGAACACCGGGTCCCACCCGCTCCTGTGTGCTGAGATTCCAGCACTGGGGTCTTAGCCTGGGCGGTTAGGGACCTGTTCCTAACACTAGGGGGCTGGCCCTCTAGGGGGGCTGGCCTTGAGACACTGTCCCACCAACCCTCAAAGGAGGGGAGATATTTATTTTGGGTAGAGAGTTTGGAGGGGCGGGAGGATTTATTAATAAAAGAATCTTTAACTTTAAATGGATTGGAGAGTGGCATGATTCCCCAGCCTGAGCCGGAGGGAGGGGTGAGTCAGCCTCGGGGGCGGGGGTGAGGCTCTGACTCACACATTCTCAATGCCTGAGCCCAGCCTGCCAGGACCTGGCCAGACCAGGACCGTTTTCCAGGGAAGATCTTGAGGAGAAACTGAAGCATCTGGTGCCCCAGACTTGCCCTTTCTTCCCAAAGGCCCCAGGTTCCAGACTGAAGCCATCGTCTGCTCAGCAATCTTTATTCATTCATTTCTTCTGGGGAACTGGGGAGAATGCCTTCCCTTTTCAAGCTCCTGTCCCCCCTACCCCAGGCTCTGTCTTTCTCTGTTGGGGGAAGGCCTTGATGCTCAAAGGCCTGGTCTGGAGGAAAAGCGGGGCAGCTGTTCCCTTCACGAGGGTGTTGATCCCCCTGTTGAGGGGGAGAAGGAGCGTGGGCAGGTACCCTGCCTGCCGGCACTCAGGGCTCCATTGTTTCCCCAGCTGGGGGCGCAGGGTAGTGGGAGGCAGGCGTGTCCCCCAGCCTCAGCAGCCGCAGCGCCTCGGGGATCAGGTTTCCAGGGTAGCGCCAGAGAAGCAGTTCAGAGCAAGGGCTCCTGGGAGAGGAAACGACAGTTAGGGCTGAGGATGGCGTGGCAGAGCCGCCTCCTACCGGGTTCAGGTCCCCCGGGGCTCCTGGGCGGCCTCTACCTTCTAAGGAGCCAAGGGGGTGGCCAGAAGCTAAAAATAGCAGGATGAGGCAAGGCCCGGGGATTGGCTCCCAGGAGGTGTGACCGTCCAGAAGGCCCAGTCAGCAGCTCGTGGACGGTACTTACCTGAGTCTGGGCAGAGCTGGGGAGAATGCCAGCGGGGTGCTGCAGTAAGGGTGGTCGTTATGCAGGCTGAGCTGGGAGAAGTGGGTGGCCATGTTCTCCTCGGACAGGAACTGCTTGCACAGGGGCTCCCTGGGGAGAGAGACCAGGAGGCAGGTGAGCGGGGATGGTCAGAGGGGAGGCAGGACGATGGGGGCCTGAGTTGACAGAGGTCTTGCTGGGAGTCCCTCCCTGTCCCCAGACTCACTGCTCCTCCTTCAGGCGCCGTTTGGTGCTCATGGGCACAGCTCCTCGGAGAGGGGAGCTAGGGAGAAAAGAGAGCTAGGTGCACCCCACCCTCTTGGCCCCATTCCCAAGATCTGCCAGCCTGAGCCTGGGACGCCGGCCAGGAACCCCCAGCCCCTATCTCAGCTGACGCCTAAGTCACCCTCACTCTCTGGAAGTCTCCAAACCTGACTCAGCTCATGCCTGAGACCTGCTGATTTGTCCCACTGTGTGTCATCTTGCAGACAAGCTCTGAGCCCCGGGCCAAAGCTCTTGCGCCCCTGGGCCGGGCCCACCCAGGGCCCCCATACACACCTCGCGTTCAGGCTTCGAGGCAGCCCCGAGTCGCGTTGGGCCCGTCTCGGGGAGCCACGCTCCAGGGGCTGCTGAAGAATCATTGGGGTTGGGGTCCTGGGGGCAGAGGGTGGGATCCGGGCGGCAGAGGCGGAGCTCCGAGGGCGTGGCCACACGCGAGAGGTGTGGCCTTAGGCGCGCGCAGCAGCGAGATTCCGCGCGGCGCGGAGGACGGGTGGCGGGCGGCTGGAGGCGGGTCTGCTTGGCGGGGTGGGGGAAGGGATCTGGCGGAGCGGGGCTGCGGTGGGCGCCTCTTAGGGTCGAGGGGCCTGGGAGGTCTTCGCGGCGTTCACCTCGGTTCCTGGGGCTCTGGGGGTGCGCGGCGATCGCCTTCCGCCGAGTCTGCCGGCGGTTTTGGGCCAGTGGGACGCCGGGAAGGTAAGCCGCTCCAGAACACGTCCGGCCTGAGGCTGTGTCGCGCGGAGCACTCTGGGATTTGTAGTTCTCGAGATGGAGCGAGCTGTGCCGCCCACGGTGCCTCTGGGTCAGGTGAGGCGGACATGGTGCGCGGTGCCTTCTGGGGTTTGTAGTCTCTGCCCAGTTCAGAAGGGGAGGGCAAGGAGTTCTTCCCTGAACCGTTTTCCTTTTTATTTATTTATTTATTTTTAATATTTTACTTAAAGTACTTTAATGAGGAATATAGAAAGGACTTTTAGAACTCAACAAGACAACTCAATTTTGTTGTTGTTAGTCCTCACCCGAGGATATTTTTTCTATAGATTCCTTAGAGAGAGTGGAAGGCGGGGTGGGGGGTGGGGAGAGGAATGGGGCGGGAAGGGGGTGAGAAACAAACATCCATGCGAGAGAAACACATCAATTGGTTGTCTCCCGCAGGTGGCCCAAGCAGGGGATGGAACCTGTAACTCAGGTATATGCCCTTGATCAGGAATTGAGCCCTGGACCCTTTAGTCCGCAGGCCCGACGTTCTAACCACCGAACACACCGGCCAGAGCAAAACTTAAACATTTATCTTTATTATTGAAAGTATTGTATTCCAGATGTTCCCTTTTTCTCCCCATTGACTCCCTCCACCCTGCACCTGCTCACCTCCTCCCAGGCCTTCACTGCACTATTGTCCTGAACCCTGTTTTGTGCGGGCTGTGGGTAGGACTTGGACTCTGACCCCTGGGCAGAGAAGTAACCCAGAAATACCTTGTGGGCCTAACATTAAAGGCAGAGGGTAGGGCTTAGAAAGTAGTACGTTATTCTTTATTGGGGCGATAGAGCCAGTTTGTGCACTTTCAACGAGGCAGCCCAGTGTGAAGCTCTTTATATACCATAGCTCACACAGTCTTATCAGAATCTCCCCTGAGCTCCATTTAACAGTTAAGGAAACTTGCAAGAGAGCCTAGGTGCTTGCTCAAGGTCCTTCTAGGCACCTCGAATCAACTCTCCCCGTCCTTCCTCACCCTCTTCTTGGAGCCAGCCCTGGGACGTTATGGGCAGATGCCTGCTTAGGGGGCCTCAGTGGAGGTATGAGAAGTATGGGAAGCAGGAAGGAAGTCTGTGGAGTGGGGTTCCCAGACAGCTTTCATCCCTCCTCTCCCCACAGATGGAAGTGTTTCAGGCCCTGCAGCGGTTGCACATGACCATTTTCTCCCAGAGCTTCTCACCCTGCGGGAAGTTCCTGGCGGCGGGTAACAACTACGGGCAGATCGCCATCTTCAGGTACCCCTGCCTCTGCGCACCGACACCTGTTGGCTCTGGCATCTGGCCTTCCCAGGACTGATGCCCCCTGCTCCTGACTCAGACACTCTCTCCCCTCTTCCTGCAGCTTGTCCGCTGCTTTGAGCTCTGAGGCCAAAGAGGAAAGCAAGAAGCCTATAGTGACCTTCCAAGGTGGGTTGCAGCCACTGAGTCTGACTTAGGGGACCCCCAGGTGAAGGAGGGGAGCAGGATAGAGTCATACAGGTTTCTGTGTTTCCATTTAGCCCACGACGGGCCCGTCTACAGCATGGTCTCCACGGATCGACACCTGTTCAGCGCCGGGGACGGGGAGGTGAAGGCCTGGCTTTGGGCAGAGATCCTCAAGAAGGTGAGTGTGGAGCGGAGGGGCGGGGGCACCCGGGCACCCGGCCCCGGAGAGAACCTTTGAGGCCACCCCGTGTTTCTCTCCATGAAGGGCTGCAAGGAGCTATGGTGCCGTCAGCCCCCCTACAGGTAAGCCAGGGCCGCATGGGCGGAGGAGAGGGGGCACGTAAGGGGGCAGACGCTGCCTCCCCAGATCTGACCCCGCTTTCCCTCCTCCAGGACCAGCCTGGAAGTGCCTGAGATCAACGCTCTTCTCCTCGTCCCCAAGGTCTGAGCCCTTTGTGACCAGGACTCTGCCCTGCCCTGTTTCTGGCCCAAACTGATAGCTTCCCCGGGCCCTGTCCTTGTTTGACCTTGATGCTGCCCCCCCCCCCCCAGGAGAATTCCCTCATCCTGGCCGGGGGAGACTGCCAGCTGCACACGATGGACCTGGAGACGGGGACCTTCACGGTGAGAGGGCCCGGAGCGGGGCGGCAGGCGGAGGCCTTCTTTCCGGACCCCTCCTGACCCTGCCCCCTCCCCGCAGCGGGCCCTCCGCGGCCACACAGACTACATCCACTGCCTGGCCCTGCGGGAGCGGAACCCCGAGGTGCTGTCCGGCGGCGAGGATGGAACCGTGCGGCTCTGGGGTAAGGGAGTGACTCGTTGGAGAGGAAGGTGGTGGTGAGGAAGGCTGGGCGTTGAGGAAGTGGGGTACCTCTCATGGTTTCCCCCCACAGATCTTCGCACGGCCAACGAGGTCCAGACGATTGAGGTCTACAAGCATGAGGTGAGGGCATGCGCCGCCCCCCCCCCCCCCCCCCACACACACACCCGGTTCTCCCTTCTCCCTGGGCATCTCCCGTGTCTTGACCTCCTCCCCTCTTCCCCTCCTTCCTCCCAGGAGTGCTCCAGGCCCCACAACGGGCGCTGGATCGGATGTTTGGCGACTGACTCGGACTGGATGGTGAGCCAGGAAAAGTGCAGGATGGGTGGCAGCCCCGGCCCCGCCGGCTGAGAGCCCCCGGCTGATGGCCTTTCTGCCCAGGTCTGCGGAGGAGGCCCCGCCCTCACCCTCTGGCACCTCCGATCCTCCACGCCCACCACCATCTTCCCCCTGTGGGCTCCGCAGAAGCACGTCACCTTCTACCAGGACCTGGTGAGGCTGTCCCCCTTGGCTTTGTGACCCCTGCCCGGCTCCCGGCTCCCGGCTCCCGACCCCTAAGTCCTCTCCCCGCTCCCCACAGATCCTGTCAGCCGGCCAGGGCCCCTGCGTCAACCAGTGGCAACTGAGTGGGGAGCTGAAGGCCCAGGTGCCCGGTTCCTCCCCGGGGCTGCTAAGCCTCAGCCTCAACCAGCAGCCAGCGGCACCCGAGTGCAAGGTGGGTCCCGCCCGGGGCTGCGGGGGGCCTGGGAGGCCGGGCGTGTGGGTGGCTCAGTCGCCCCCTCTCGCCTCCAGGTGCTGACAGCGGCAGGCAACAGCTGCCGGGTGGACGTTTTCACCAATCTGGGCTATCGGGCCTTCTCCCTGTCCTTCTGACCTCCGGCAGCTGGCAGGGCCCGGAGCAGGGGGACCGGGAAGAGGCCCTGAGCCCACCCTCTCGGACAGGGAGAGGGCCCCTGGGCCTCAGCGAGCAGAGGTCTGAACTGTTTTCTTTTTTTTCTTTTTACAAAATAAAATTTCAAGTTTTTCTTCCCTGTGCTTTCTCTTCAAGAATGAAGACTTAAGTCGGTGCAATGAATTATATATTACTATCTGATCTGACACATAAATAACCTCCCCCACCCCTTCCCCGGAGCTGGCCAGGGCCCTGGGGCCTAGTGCCCTCGTGCTTAGAAAAGACCCATAGAGATTCAAAAAATAGACAGCTCTGCCCCACCTGCGCCCACCACCGACCTGGGACCCCTGACCCTCAGTGCCCGGGCCTGCTCCCAACGAGCCCCTGCCCAGCTTTCCTGAGCTGGGAGGGTACCAGCCCCCTCTGGAAGACAGTCTGGGCCCTGTCGCTCCATTGGCCAGAAGAGGAGAGAGCCAGCGATGGCAGGCAGGCCCCCTCGGCGGCCCTCAGGTCCTTCGGAAGAGGCTGCTGAAGAAGCCGCCGTTCTGCCCAGGGCCCCCGCGCAGTGAGAAGCGTGATGCTGGCGGACTCGGAGCGGATCTGGCCGCGCTCAGCTCCTTCTGGCGCTGGGAGCGCAGCTGCTGCCCAATCACCACTTGCATGTCGTCCTGATGCGGGAGGTCAGCGGGCGGAGGGAGCGCGTCAGCGCACGGCCCCGCCCCCAGGCCCAGGCCCCGCCCCTCATGCTCAGGCCACGCCCCTTACCTGCCAGGCCTCCAGCTCTTGTGTGAGCGCCACCTTCTGGCGGATGGTGCGGAGCAGCTCCCGGGAGAGGGAGTCCCGCTCCAGAGAGACGCGGCTCAGCTCCAGGGACAGCTCCAGGGTCCTGCGGGCGGCCGGGGCAGAGAGCTAGCTAGAGGGCGAGCAGGTGGACGGGGGCCCCTGGGCCCGGGTAGGAGTGGGACCCGTAACACCAAAACCAAGGAGATCGGAGGGCCCCTGGGTGGGAGTGGGGAGAATGGGAAGCCATGTCACCAGTGAGACCTAGGAGGACCAGAGTGCCCCGGGGGACGAGAGCCCTGCCGGGGAGCTAGTGGATGGCGGCAGAGGCAGGCTCACTTGTTCACGGCCTTTTCCCTGTCCGAGAGGGCGCAGCTTAGGGCCTCCTCGGGGTCCTCCTGTTCCCGCAGCTCCTTCTGCCTCTGCAGCTCCTCCCGCAGGGACTGGAGCTCCACCCGCTGAAGCTCCATCTGCAGACGGGGAAGGAGGTGAGAGGCAAGAAGGCCTCTGGGTCTCCAAGCCCTTGCTCTCCTCGGCAGCCTGGGCTGCAGCTCTCCCACCTCCCTTCCCTTGCCTGCTCCACAGACACCCCGGGCAGCTGCGGCCCTGTGCTGGAGATGCATCTTCTGAGCCCCCAGGCTGGCGTGGGGCTACTTGGATGGAATAAACCGCAGGAAAGGTGCATGGAGAAGTATTGGGAGGTGGGACTAAGGGGGCAATGCAGTCCAGGAAGTCACCCCAGAGGAGGTGGCAAACAGGCTGACCTTATTTTTAAAAAAATACTCACCGAGTATATTCCTTCCCCCCCTTTTTAAGGAGGGAGAGGGAGAGAGAGAGAAAAAAAAAACTTCAGTGTGAGCGAGATACATTGACTGGTTGTCTCCCACATGCATGCTGATAGGGGCAAGGGATCGAACCTGCAACCCAGATATATGTCTTTGACCTGGAATCGAACCCATGACCTTTCCGTGCACAGGCTGACGCTGCAATCACTGAGCAAAACCGGCCAGGCCCAGGCAGGCTCTTGGAGCATAACTGCAAGTTGGTTGGGATGAAGGATTATCCAGGCAGAGGGGCATTCGTGGGGAGAGGCTCAGAGTTGTAGATGGAAAAGAGAAACACTGAGGAAGGCTCTCATCCAGCACCGCCCCCGCTCCCCACCTCATCCTGCAGCCGGGCCACTTCCATCTCCTTCTCCTCCAGGACCTCTCCTGGGCTCAGCGACGCTCTCTTTACGGGAGGCTCCGAGCTCTCCTCCTGGGGCGAAGGCTGCTGACCGGATGCCTCCTGGGTCTCCGGGGACGGCGTGGTCTGTTCACCAAAGGAGTTAGTCAGTGCGGTGTTGGACCTCGCGGGGAAAGGAAGAGGGGTGGGTCTGCAGCCTCCCGGAGGGCTGGTGGTGGGCTCACCGGGGCGTCTCTGTGTCCGTCTGCGTTCTGGTTCCAGTCGCTGTCCAGGCTGTGGGCAAGCTCCGACTGCAGCGACGCCCCCGAGGTGTCAGCGCCCTGCAGGCGAGACTCCTCCTCCAGCTCCGAAACTTGCCGCTGCAGCCTCCGCAGGGCACTCAGCGCCTCCCGGGCCTCGGAGCGCGCGCATTCCAGCTGAGAGAGCGCAGGCGGTCAGCCAGGTGCACCCGCGGCTGGCCCCTAGAGGGCGCCGGCGTGCCGCGGAGGACCGGGCAGCCCGCGTCTGCGCACCCCCCGCTATAGGTGCCTGGTCCCCGCCCCACAACTCCTGGGTCGCAAGAGGCCTCGGGTTGTGCACTTCCCCTTAGCCAGCACCAATTTCCTGGCCTATAAAGCAGGGTGCGGATAGAAGCCTGGGCTTTAAAGTTTTCCATCACCTTCCCTCCAGCCACACCCCCATAAGGTAACTCCTCAGAGAGCCCTGCCTGTCTTTGACCAGTCAGTCTTCTAACTGCTATCACCGGGCACTTAGCGAGCCTTCCTCCTAAGCCAGCAGTGCTGGGCTCAATGCCTCAACCCCCCAACACAGCTCTATACCGTCACTCTGCCAGCCCACAGGCTGGCTATTCCACAACCTAAGAAGAGGTCCTGGGATAAGAGCCCAGAAAAGGTGACCCTGAAGCGCTGCCTCTTCATTCCCTTCTCTCCATCTCTGCTGCCTCACACCCCGTCCGTGTCCCCGCCATCTCCCTGACCTCCCAGCAGCTTGGTTCTAAGCGTGTGCCACCCTTGCATAGCTCCCTTCTGTGGCCCCCACGTGGCCTTGGGCTAATGCTTACGCTCTTGTGGCCCAGCTGCTGGGCCCCCATCACCCCAGCTCTGGCCTCATCTCCCAGGAAGGCCAAGTGGCCAAGGCCCCAGCTGAGGCACCCGCACCCCCCAACCCCACTGTCACCTCCAAGCTGTGCTCCCGCCTCTCCCTCCGCAGCAGCAGCAGCTCCTCGTGGGCGGCCCGCAGCCTGCCCTGGCCCTTCTCCACCTCCTCACGCAGGCCCCGGATCTGGGCCTCCAGGTCCTGCCGGCGGCTCTGCAGCATCTGGTTCTAGGGAGAGTCCTCAGAGCTGGAGGGCAGGTGCTGGGCTAGCTCCAGACTGCCCACAGCCCAGTTTTCCTGGCCCCACAGGCCCCCAGCCCGAGCCCGCACTCACCTCCCCCTGCAGACTTTCCAGCCGTGACCTCAGCTCTGCCCTGGCCAGGGTCTGGGCCTGGCACTGCCCCCGGAGGCCATCCAGCTCCTTCTGAAGCTCCTGCTCAGTCTGGGAGGCCTGGTGGAGGTGGTTGGGGGCGAGGGGTGGGGGGTGGGGGAGGAGGGGACGAGAAGGGAACCATGGAGCCCTCAGGTGGCCAAAAAGCCTCAACACCAATCCCAGGGCACCCTCCCCCCAACTGGGACCCAGGAACCGGGCTGGGGGAAGGCGTCCCACCTGGGCCAGTTGCTGGCTGAGCCGCAGGTTCTGCTCGCTGAGTTCGCCGAGGGCCTGGGCCCGTTCGCGCCCGCTGTCCTGCTGCTCTGAGCGCTGCTCGCCCAGCTGGGCCCGCAGGGCCTCCAGGTCCCCCTCCAGCTCCACCGCCCTGGCCTCCCACTCCGCGCCCCGTGCGGCCAGGCCCCGGCGGAGCTCGTGGTTCTCCTGCTGCAGCCGCTGTGGGGCGGGAGGGGAGGTCAGAGAGAGGGAGCGGTGAGGCACAGAGCCCGAGGGAGAAACAGACCTGAAGCACTCGAGGGCGTCTGAGACAGGGAGGGAGCAGGCGGAGAGCAACTCGCAGATTCAGAGAAAAAGAGAGCAGGGTGGGGCCCAGTAGAGAGAAGTTTCCAGGCTGACACCCCCCCTCGCCCCGGCCATGGGGTGGGGCTCCCTGATGCCCACTCACCTCTGGCTGCTGCCTGGGCTTCTGGGCCTGATGCCGCAGGCGCCGTTTCTGGCGCCTGAGTCTGGCCGAGTGTAAGCCCCGACCCATCGTCTCACACAGCGAGGGCTCTGGAGGCTGAGCTGCACGGCCTCTGCTCGGCCCCTCTGCCCCAGCTCCTCCCAGCCAGCTCCCTCTAATTAACCCTGCCCGCCCCTCCTGACCCCGCGCCTCTGCCCGCCCTCCCAAACCCGTCCAACCAGTGGGCGGGCAAGCCTGGCACACCCAGATACCCAGCGTGGGGAGGCGGGCAAGCCGGCCCCACTCTCTAATTACCGAAGCGGGAAAGTGATGCTAGCCATCGCGGCCACAGCTGTTAGCCCAGCTGTTAGCCGTAGTCCGCCAGGCCCTGTGTGGCCTGGGCTACCTCGTTTAGTCCACTAACGTTCGCATTTTACAAATGAGAAGACAGGCTCAGAGAGGGCAGGCTCAGAGAGGGCAGATCAGAGAGGGCAGATCAGAGAGGGCAGATCAGAGAGGGCAGGCTCAGAGAGGGCAGAATCAGAGAGGGCAGAATCAGAGAGGGCAGGCTCAGAGAGAACAGAATCAGAGAGAACAGAATCAGAGAGGGCAGGCTCAGAGAGGGCAGAATCAGAGAGGGCAGGCTCAGAGAGGGCAGAATCAGAGAGGGCAGAATCAGAGAGGGCAGAATCAGAGAGGGCAGATCAGAGAGGGCAGGCTCAGAGAGAACAGAATCAGAGAGAACAGAATCAGAGAGGGCAGGCTCAGAGAGGACAGGCTCAGAGAGGGCAGGCTCAGAGAGGGCAGGCTCAGAGAGGGCAGAATCAGAGAGGGCAGAATCAGAGAGGGCAGAATCAGAGAGGGCAGGCTCAGAGAGGGCAGGCTCAGAGAGGCAGTGCCTTGCCAAGGACACACAGTGAATTAGTGGAGCATCGATCCCAACCCAGGCAGCCAGGTTTTTAACCAAATACTGGGGGGCAGCCCATCTCTAGGATTAAGCCCACAGGATTGGGGTCCAACTGTCTTGGCTGGTGCCCAGCTCTGCTGCTGCTTTGTGGTCAGGCAAGTCCCTTAATATCATCAAGTTCCATCCATCCACCTATCCATCCACCCACCCACCCATCCATCCACCTATCCATCCACCCACCCACCCATCCATCCACCCACCCATCCATCCATCCACCCATCCTTCCATCCACCCATCCATCCACCCACCCACCCATCCATCCACCCACCCATCCATCCATCCATCCATCCATCCACTCATCCATCCATCCATCCATCCATCCATCCATCCATCCATCCATCCATTCACTCTCCCATCCATCCATCCACCCATCCATCCATCCATCCATCCACCCATCCATCCACTCACCCATCCATCCATCCACCCACCCATCCATCTATCCATCCACCCATCCATCCATCCATCCATCCACCCATCCATCCACTCACCCATCCATCCATCCACCCATCCATCCATCCACCCATCCATCCATCCACCCATCCATTCACTCACCCATCCATCCATCCACCCACCCATCCATCCACCCATCCATCCACCCACCCATCCAGCATTGCCTGAGCTCCTCCTGCTCTGGGGTCTGGCTGTCAGCAGTAAGCGAGAGCACAGGGTTCCCTGCCTCAAACAGCGTGAGCCCAGAGGTCTGAGGCAAATAGACACGAGCTTGAACTAGGTCAGTGATCGGCAAACGGCGGCTCGAGAGCCACATGCAACCGACACCCCCACTCCTTCTAACGCCACTTCTACAAAAATAGACTGGCCCAGGCCGAAAGCTGACTTCTGCGCACGGGCCACGAAGTTTCAATTGCACTGTACGTGGGTGCCCGAACGTGGTATTATGTGGAAGAGCCACATTCAAGGGGCCAAATAGCCACATGTGGCTTGAGAGCCGCGGTTTGCTGACCACTGAGCTAGGTCCTTTCGGAGGGACAGTACGGGCGGTAAGGAAGCCCTGGAAAGGAATGAAGAGCAGGGTAGGGTGGAGGCTCCCTAAGTAGGAAGTGATGTGTGAATGGACTCCCTGCAGGGCAAGAAGGAAGAGGGCTAAATGCAGGGAACAGTAAGTGCAAAGGCCCTGAGGGAACCAACTTGAGTTATTCAAGGAACTGAAAAAGCCCTCCCTCTCCCCCTCTCCTCCCCCCCCCCCCAGTAGGAGGGGTGGGAAGCTGAGCTCAGGCTGGGGAAGCTGCCCACGGGCACTTGTAGGCTCTGGCGAGGAGCTTCGATTTCAGTCTAAGTGTGACGAAGAACCCTTGGGAGACCCTGAGCAAGGACCGGAATGACCTGGTCTGTGATATTGAAGACCCCTCTGGCGGCCCCATAGGCAGTGGGCTCCAGGGAGCAAGAGCAGGAGCTGGGGACCAGGGAAGAGGTGGCTGCGGTGTCTGGGGCAGAGACGGGTGACCAGGTGGGGGCCGCCTCAGGGTCCTGCTCAGAAGAAGAATCAATGGGGCTTGCAGGCGCGGCAGAGGAGGGAGGTCACGGAGATGCTCGGGGTCTGGGGCTGCGGTGGGAAGCGGGGTGGGGACAGGGGGTGTGGGGCAGAATGAAGAGTGCACTTCCGTGGAGATGCCCATTAGGTGCCCAGGGTGTTTAGAGGCCAGATGTGACCCTCGGCGACAGTGTGGCTGACCACAGAAGCTGGGCAGAGGAAGGATTAGAGAACTGGCTGAGCGAGAACTGACAGAGATGATGCATGGAAAGTCCTTAGCCCAGAGCCAGGCAGGGAGGGGGTTCCCAATCACTTGGCTGGGGTTCCACTATACTAATGAGGAGGTGGACCAGCGGCTTGGCCAGGGCCACACAGGCAGGCTGGGGGTCTGAACCCAGGTCTTGACTTGCCCCCAGAGCCCCTGTTCAAACAGCGCGGCCAGGGGGACCGGGCCCCGTCCCGAACTATCCCAGAAGCACCCCCCTGTCTGGCTCTCCACCCCTGCTCACCTGCCCTCCATCCGCCCACCCTGCCCCGTGCCCGCACCCCCGCGGCCCACTCACTTCCTCTCGCTCCGCGTGCTGGGCGCTGAGCGTCTCCAGCTGCCGCTGCAGCTCCTCGTTGCGCTCCAGAAGCATCTTGCCGAGCTCCGCAGCCAGCAGCAGGTCTTTCTCCTTCTGCTGCAGCTGCAGGGCCAGGTCCTCGGGCTCCTGGGGCCCCGGGCCCCCTCCCAGGAACGAGTCCCGCCGCTCCAGCACGAAGGGGAAGAAGCCCTCGTCACAGCTGGGGGAGGCGCCGCCCGAGAGCAGCCCCAGCGGGAAGCCTGGCCCTTCTGGGGAGCTCATGGCGCCTGCAGGGGGGGGGGGGGACGGACAGGTGGGTCTGTGGGACACTCTACTCTGCAGCCTGGGGTTTGACAGCCCCCGCCCCCACCCCCACCAAGACCTGGCCCTCCCTTAACTCTTCCCCCGTCCACTGGCCCTCCCGGTCCTTCAGCCAGGGCCTACCGGGACCGTGAAGGGTTAAGGATCCGTGTCGTGGCCACTCAGCTCAGTTACTGCCCCCGGGGTAAACTGAGGCAGAGAGAAGCAGGAAATAAATGGGTGCCTTCGCCTCTAGCAGACATTCTCCGCCCCCAGACGTGTCCCAGTGCGGACACTCCCGGCCTCCCTCCTTCTGGAACCCAGATGGATTCGGTTCCCAGCCCCTCGCCGTCTGGGGGGCTTCCCAGAACCCGGGTTCTGAGGGACTGAGGACTGGGGACCAGTCCAGACCCCTTTCCCTCCAAGAACACAGGGCCTTGGGAACTGGGGTGTCCTGACCCTCAGCCCCTCCTCCTCCAGAGCCCAGTGCCCGGCTCCCGGGCACGCAGACGCCCTCCCGGGCGCCCTGGCCCGTCCTCCTGTTTTCTCAGGACTCAGGTGTCCGTTCCTCACCCCGGGACGCAGGTGCCCGCTCGGGAGTGTGGGCACCAGCCCTCCAGTTTCCCAGGCAGGGCGAGGTAACAGGTTGTGCCAGCCGCTGCCTGCCAATCCCGGTTCCTGTTTACTCCCCAGCCGGCCGCTGGGGACAGGAGCCGGCGGCACTCCCCGAGGACCTCCCGGGCCCACAGCTCAGGGACTCCGAGGAAGGGGACGCAGGGGGCTTCCCTGGGGCACCCCCCAGCTCACACACCTGTCCCTCCCCCACTCCCCTCACCAGGCGCCCAGCCCAGGGATCCCAGCAGTCCCCGTCCAGCTGCCGTCAGACTGGCCCCAGGGTCTCCCTGGCACGGCCCCCGCAGCCCGGCTGCTCTGGAGATGTGTCCCTTCTTCCCCTCCCGGAGCTGAGCTGCCATTTGGTACCTCCACCCAGGCCTCGGGGCCCATAGTCCCTCGAACCCCCAGCCCAGGTGTGGGAAGCCCGGCCACCGCCTTCCTTCCAGCCCGGGGTCCTGCCGGTGCCTCCAGCCCCGAGCCCACCACACCGCCCGCCCGGCGCCGTCCAGCCTGGAGCTGGGAGAGCCTGTCCTCAGCGCCCCCAGGCTCTCACCCCACGACGCCTCCGCCGGGGTCCCGCCGAGGTCCCCGCCGCCCGGTCCGTCTTCCGGAGGCGGGCCAGGTGCACAGGTGCGGGGCGTGCCCTGGGCGGGCCGGGGCGCCCCCTGGCGACCGGAATGGCCAGGCGGGGCTGCAGGAAAGTCACCGCAGCCCAGGTCCGAGGCACTGGCCACCTGGCTACTGCCAGAAACAACAGGCCCATTAACTGAGCGCCTACTGTGTGCAGGCTCTGCGCTGGGCATCATGTCAGCTCCTTTCCCCTCGCAACTGTCCTGTGGGATATAAATTCATTTGTTTATATATTTTTCTTTATTTTTCAATTACAGCTGACATACACTATTGTATTAGTTTCAAATAATGTACACCATAGTGATTTGGATACCTTACAAAGGGTTCACTCCAGTAATTCTTTTTTTAAAAAGTATAGTTTATAGATTTTTTTTACAGAGAGGAAGGGAGAGGGATAGAAAGCTAGAAACATCGATCAGTTGCCTCACTCTCCCCCACCCCCACTGGGATGCGCCCCTAACCAAGATACATGCCCCTCACCGGAAATCGAACCCGGGACCCCTCAGTCCACAGGCCGACGCTCTATCCACTGAGCCAAACCAGTTTTGGCTCACTCCAGTATGTAATTCTCTTACCCACCTGGCAACATTCATAGCAGTTACAATATTATTGACTATGCCCCTTATGCTGTACTTTACTTACATCCTCATGACTATTTTTATTTTATTATTATTATTTTTAAACAAGGCCACCAACAATTTGGTTGCCTCCCATATATATATTGATTTCAGAGAAGAAGGGATAGAGAGAGATAGAAACATCCATGATGAGAGAGAATCACTGATCGGCTGTCTC